TTAAAATCCTTGAATTTATTATCAAATGACTGTTATCGGGGAAAAAATATTTCCCATTAAATTAATAATAATATGAGTTAACGAAACAAAAACAGGACTGAAATGGACTTATAGATAGACATAACCAATACGTTTCACACCATTGAGTGATAAATATTTACGAGTTTTGTATTTAAATGCGTTTTTAAAATAAATTGTCACAAAAAAGTGAATATATTTCTTATACTTTTTAATGTAAAACTCAAATTCACTGCAAATACTGTATAAGTAATGTTTCAAACAATTGCTTTATTTGTCATCGCATTCACGTTAAGTGAGTCTTAAATCCATATATTAATAATTGTGACCAAAATATGTTATCAATGTTTGTCTTGTAATATGACCTCAAATATTGATTAACAGAAATTATATATTAAATAATATAATTTATATTATATTATAAATTTTATGACATGTGTATCAACTATATTCAGGTGACTGTCAACCGGCACTGGAATGCATTCACGTGAACGGGACGTGTGGTGGGGTTCAACAGTACAAGTGCTGTCTGGGCGAGCAGTTACAGTGTGTCTACGAGACACCCATACACCCGGAGGCTCAGGGTACCTGTGAAAAGGTATGTCACGTGGAGGGAGGCATATGTGGCGGCTATAGTATGGACCCGCAGGTGTGTTGTACAGGATTCAAATGCAGCCAGGTTGACCCTCGCATACCAGACTTGCCCGGCAAGTGTCAGAAGTCAACCGATCATTCATCCGATTTGAATTAAAAGCTATATTTTTATTGTTAAACAAAAATTTACAATTTTTATTTATTATTTATAAAATAAAACAATTATTACCAATATATACTAGACCAAAGTTATTTATATTTTAAATAGAAAAGTTTAGTAAAACTTATTTGCTGATATAATTATAAAATATTTACATGATAATCATAAAACTTAATTTTTAACAATAATTGCTAGTCTTTGAAATATTGTTATAATTAATTTCTGTTACTTAAAAAGTTGAGAAATTTTGTTTGAACGGAAAGCCCTCCTAAATAGAAAAGTCGATCCAATTCTTGGACTAATTTCTTTAAATTCTTGCACTTATTAGCGCCGGTCTGTTGTTGACTACATTGGAGTCCCTTCTCGTATATATTGCTGTATAACTTCCTAATCTATTCAATCAAATCAAATACAAAATTAGTTGAAACGATAAATTTGATAATTTAATACTATTTCATACATCGGTTATGATTGAGGCCATCACTGGATTCTTAATCCTTTCGATACCCCCTCCCAAAAACAGTGTCCCCTTAAGGGCTGCCAATCGGGTCCTGAATTGGACTCTAATGAGACCATTGGCCTCAGCGGTAGTGCACTGGAGGTTATCGTTGGCGTGATTTGCTCTCCACTTCTCGTCACAAATCATGGTTTGAGTCAACGATGCGACGGCTTTCAGGGCTCCGGTCTTCTCACTGGGTGTCCGGGCTTTAGCTAACCTGCCGTTGAGTCCCGTTTGTAATATTTGCGATAATCTGGGAATATATGCCTTATAGAAGTCCACATAACAGTTGAAACCCTTTTGTCCTGATATCTCAACCCTCTTGGAAACCATAGCCGAGCCGTCGTTTAAGTTCTTTTGCGACAAATCATACATCTGTTGGTCATTGAGGCCATTGAGGGCCGCATTTCCAGTGCTCACACACTTTAGGTCTGCATTTCGGTCGCATTTCACTGTAATATCGTTTCATACAAATTAGTAATTATTACCGATATTATTATTATTATTGGCTTTATTGTCAAATTAAAACAAACCTGTAGTTATAAAAATCAATGCAATTATGTACCTAAATGGAATATACATTATGACATTTTTAATTTCAGTCAATTTTACACTGATTTCGTAAATTATATGCTTATCATTCAAATCTATTCGTACTTATAATTGATATTTTATTTTATTTTAATTTTATTTCCTATTGATTCAATGATTGAATCACTGAAGTTTGGTACTGAGTGAACACCTTTTTGAACATTATAATCGGTAAATAAAGATTACAGGTACAAAATGTATATACAAAATGTTATGTAAANCTGAGTGAACACCTTTTTGAACATTATAATCGGTAAATAAAGATTACAGGTACAAAATGTATATACAAAATGTTATGTAAATTATTGCAAAACTACTATTCCCTTGTTATGCACATCTATAGTGCTGATGAACCTATTGAATATATATCAAACAATTGAATTGAATATTAAAATCGATACAATAGATATTGACATAACTATTACTTTAATTATTTAAACAAAATTACGCTGATATTAATGCTTTAAAATTGTTTATTTAGTGATTACTGTTAATATTGAATAGATTTAATAGAAATCAATTTGAATCAATAATTTAGAGCATAGGTTTGAGGAACAGTAGGTCATAGTGTCGACACCACTCCCATTTGAAAACCTTGACATTACGACAATATTGAGTGCCAGCGATTGCTTTCACACATTCTTGGGATTCGCGGAACAGTTGTTTATACAGCGAATCGATCTGTTATTACATAACAAACACTCAAAAGGATTATCAATGGAAACACATAACCAACTAAAGGGTTAACTCACGTCTGCCACGACTTTCCCCACAATCGGGTTCTTAATGTTTTCGTATATCTTAGCGATTGTGACCATTCCGTCGATACCTCCGAAGTCGAGCTCAAT